ATATGAGTGAATCACAAAAATAATTGTAGCATACCCAGCCTGCAGCAGGTTGTATGTTTGTTAATTCAGAAGGTCCATATTGATAAAATGGTCGGTCGTAGGGCAATAGCGCGTCTTTAGCCACAGGCGAAAAGGTAAGTGACAGTTCTGGTGATCCAAACTCTTCAAAAACAGCAGTTGGTCGTGACCCCTGACTGGCAAACTCCAGAACGGATGAGAGCCCAGGAGCAAAGCTACCTGCAGATGATCCGTAAGTATCGTTAGCCCCAGCTCCACAATCATCCAATTCACCTATGGTATCTCCTATACCGTCGCCAGCAACAGGATCACTATAGTTGCCTGCAATTGCTTCGTGAATACTAAAAAAGGAGTCTTCAGTTGTCCTCGCAGGCGTGGCTGAACAATTAAGTGATGTATTTAATGAGTCACCATCTACGGCCAGCACGCCGTCGTTGGTAGCATCAATGACACTGGACAAGGCAGTCTGTGTAGAGGCTAATGTGGGCCGGTATTCGACAGGCATTGGTGATAAAACAAGTGCAGCAGCCGCAGCCGCAGATTCCAGACTGGAATGGCGAGAATGCGATTGGTAGCCTGAGGGTGGAAGGCTGGTACCAGCAGCTGTAGAAGCGGCCAGATCAGATCCACTTCCGCCCAGAACAGCCCTGCCTATTATGCCACCAGCAGTCAGGCGGCGAGCACGCGCAGCACAAAGTATGCAGGGCGAAGTGGTGGCAGGGGCACAAAAACTAGGGGACGGAAGGCATGCGGAACTGGAGCTACCATTTTTAGCAAGAGAATTGGAGATAGGACAACATCCCGATGGTGACGGAAGAGGCAGGCCGGATGGAGAGGAAATACCAGCAACGGTGGTAGAGACGTTTCCTTCAAGACTTGTACTGGTACAGGAGCAGCCAGCGAAGAAACATATAGACTGGGTTCCAGTTTGATAGGAGGACCTGTTAACAGTATAGTGAAAAACGTTGATGGTATTCAATGTAAAATAATAAAAGCTACGTATTATCTTATATGCACATGAACCAAGTTTGTTCGCATACTATGCTCGCCATGGCTCATATGCATGCCAATATATTCCAATTTAGC